AAAAAAAAAGGGGCCCAAAAATGGGGGGGGGGGTTTTTTGTTTTGGGGGGGGGGGGAGGGTTTCCCTTTTTTTTCCCTTTTTTTTTTTTTCCCCCCAGCAGGGGGGTTTTCCCGGGGAATTAATTTGGGGTTCCCCCCCCCCCCCCCCCCTTTTTTTTGGGGGGTTTTAGGGGGGAATTAAAGGGGGGTTTCCCCCCCCCCCCCCCCCCCAAGGCCGAAAGCACTTCGAAGTGCGGGTGGGGGGGAAGAGATGGGTTTGCTGTTTCTACCTCTCCCTTTCAGACATGGGTAAACTACCGAGGAACTTCCTGTGTGCCCGGAATGGTTGAAATACAATTTCGGTCGTAATTTTCCTATCCAAAGGGTACTACAGACGTGGCTGCTGCTTGGAAGATCGCACCTGGTGTACGCGCTGCTGGTTCCAACAGTTTATGCGTTGTTTTTTTTGCGTTTATGTGACCTGTTGTTCAGAAAATCTACAGAAAAACACAGAAAAACGACTGCACCCGTTCGAGATATGCCCACAGTCGAAGGGCTAAAGTAGTTTTCAGTGGGTGTTGGTTTGACCTGTTCCTCTTGGTCGCGGGCGATTCCCCCATATCGGTTTCGGGCGCGACAGACATCAAGCGACGGCGAAGCGGCGCAACTGTCGGAGGCGGTGAAACGGCTAGCCCTCGAGATAAGCCGAAGGGACGCGCAGATCGAGAAGCTCGAGAGGTCTCTCCTCTCGCTGGTACGTGTTACCTACCATAGATGACATGACGCAAGATACCACACCCCTGACCGATTTTCACAGGCGGACTACTCTGCAGCAAAGGCAGTAGCGGTGCCAACCGTGGCGGCCTTGGAACCGTCTCGTCGAGAGCTTTCCGAAAACGTAGTGTTTGATTTTGGCATCCTCTTCGTGGTGGAGTAATCGAGCTTTGGAAGTAGGCCCAGGGGGTGTGATACCTTAAGCAACGTACCCGAAGTGTTGCGGAGGGGGGAGAGGAGAGGGCGTATGTTGGTTCCCACCGATGTACGATGTACACGCGGTAGAGAGCAAGGCGCTCAAGTGTCGAAGAGTGAGTGAAAGCGTGGACATGGACACCAACATGGAAGTGAAAGCATGGACGAAGAGATGTCTTGGAAAAGCAAAGGGTTCATTTGCGGGAACAGTGTGTCTAGACGAGTTTTCAGTGTCTTCGTTCGCAAACATGCGTACATCCGAAGTTTGTCTAACCTTAGACACGTTGTCAACCAAAATTTTGACCCATCCTGCGAGTGTTGCTCTACTATGTAGTCCTTGCGGTTTCACACACCGAGAATAGTCGTAGACTAATACGTCTCGGCCAACCTTGGTGTGAAGTGTGAAGCCTGTGAACCCCTACGAACCAACACCATCTGGAACTGTTCGGAAAGCAGGTGCCGTTGGTGGTTACGTTGGTGGTGAAAAGAAAACTCCTCGATTTGCCGCGCTTGGCAGCGTTTTTGTTCTCGTCTGCTCGTGACATTGTACGTACTTCTCGTCGGTCGTAGGTTGAGGCAGTCTCGCATCTCACACCAGACGTCAAAAACTATTCTTGTGGTGGCAAGTCTCCCCTCGCACAACCTCCATACCAAAACACCGCAACTCACAGGGCGGAAACGACCCCACCTTCACCGAGAGAGGAGGGGCGGGGGCAGGGAACCCAACAGCCGCAGAAGCGGGCACGGATCCCGCATCGTCAGCCGCAGCTGCAGCAGCAGCCGCGACGACGCCTGGCGGCGCGGCAGTGGCTTCACCCCGAGCATCCTCATCGGATGGTACAACTCGGTCTTCCGCCTCTGCTAGCGCTGGTGGTGCTGGTGGGTTAGGTTTGCTTTCTTCTTTCGAACGTGCGGGGGCGGGGGGGGGGGGGGGGGGGGGGGGGGAACCTTGGTTGTTTTCCCCCCTATAATAAAAAAAAGGGCCTTTTTGGGATCCGCAAATCCCCAAACCCTTTTCCCCCCCCCCCCACAAAGCGGGGGGGGGGGCCCCGGGGTTTTCCCCGGAAAAGGGTTTCCCACCCCCAAGGGGGGAGGGGGGGGGGGGAACCCTTTTAGGGGGGGGGCCCCGGGGGAAAAAGGGGGAATTAAAAAACTTGGGGGGGGGGGGGGGGGAAAAACCATTTTTTTAGTTTGGGG